ACTGGAAAGTTTAAAAGTTTAAGTTCCCAGTCTAGTTAAAACAAGAAGAGAATCCTTCCCTCATGCCTCAACCTATCCGATTTTAGTAATTTAGCAGCTTGACTACAGTATCTTCATTTTATTTCTTCACTCTGTTTCTCACAAATAACCAAAATATGGTTACATACATACAATGAAATATGATACACCAGTAAAAACATGACTTGATTGCTATTACATATGACAATATGAACCCCAGGAAACATTATTATGAACGAAGAAACCAGAAACAAATGAGTACGTAATGTGATTCCACAACATGAAATGACAAGCAGCGGGAAAATGATTAGAGTAAGTAGTTGCCTAGAGTGGGATGTTAGTGCAGGATAAACTTCACGTAGGCATGAGAGAACCTTTTCAGATGATAGGAATATTCTAAATTTGGATCATGGTCCTGATTGCACTGGATATCTGGTAGTAATTTTTTTAATTCAAACTGTCAGGTGAGTGGGAGTTCTAGAGTAATTGTGTGAAGAGTTAGGCAGACACTCTCCTTAGGACAACTCTTTAACCGATAAAATTAAAAATAAAAAATGTCTCCGGAAATTAAGCTAAGGTCTTTCAATTGAATATTTATGAATAAAACTGAAAAAAAAAACATTCGTCCAAATGTGTCCTCTAAATCTTGGTAAAAGCAGAAAGAAACTGTGGCATTTGATTAGGTTAATGCTGCTTTCTGTATTCTGGACTGACATGGTCAAGACAAAGGGGGTTCATTCAACCCAAAGGTCCTAGTCTAGTGCTGCAGTTTCATCCAAGCAGGTACGAACCTCACACTTACTTATATCTTCCCTAGAGCCTGTTTTGGAAATTCTACATAACATGGGCATAAACAAATTCAGTCACCCAGCTGTCACTCAAAGGATGAGACTTAGCCTCAGGCAAAACAGGTCTAGAATACTGAGTCCCCAGTTTTGCTTGACCTATCTCACTTGCAGGGCAACTTTTCTCTGCCAGAAAGGGCAACCTAAGAAGATCATGGTCTACCATCTTCCTCTCACATCAACCTGTACAGTAGGCATGTAGCTCTGATAAAAACAAGGCTGTAGACACCTACCACTTCTGTGTAGGGGCCACCGATGTTATGCCAGGAGAGCTTCAGGTCATAGGAAGAAAGAGCTCCGCCTGAGGAGACTGACTTTACTTGGTAAACACAGAATGGAGAAGTTCCTAATAAGGGTACTGTTAAAAATAATGGATTTTGGTGCCAAGCGTTTTAAAATAGGCATTCACCTCCATGAAACTCATAGGAATAAGCAAAATGGTAGGCCATCAGAAGTTTGATAGATGCCAGAAAAAAAGACAGCCAAGATCCTCCTGGATCCCACTCATCTTCGTGTGTCTAGAAGGCTATGCGCATGTGCTAAGGTGCACCCACTCAGTAGCAGTGAGGGTATTGTATTTGGCGGGATTGAAATATCCCCAGGCCACAATCACCTTTATCAACAAAGGACTGGAGCCTCACTGGCTCAAGGGGATTAAGCACATCTTCTGACCAAATACTAGCTGTACAGAAAGCCACTCTGACTATCAATAAAAACATAAAACCTTAAATAAATACACACATACACAAATACATAAATGCTCATAAATAGGCCTAAGTGAAAAATCTTGAGCTGAGTATTATCCTCACCCAAAGAAGACATTTAGTAGAAGAGAGCACCAGAAGATTTTCAGCAGGCAGAAAAACGAATTGGCCAACTTGACAGATTATTAAGGATATCACAATCAGAAGAAAAGAAACAAGAGAAAGAAAAATTTTCTGTGCCTCTGAGAAATACGTGACCTGCTCTGAAGCAATGGGTTGACAGCTTTCCTCCCTAAAACAATTGCCTACAAACATCTGTTGATTATTATCTCTATTCACTTGCCTTTTTTTAGTCTCTAGAATTCTCCACTATAAAGGGTGTTATAATATTTGATATAGTCCATATATTGCTAAAGTTCAATTTTTATGCTTTTATTTTTGTTTACATCAGTGTGGGGATTTTTTCCCCATTAAACTGTCTTCCAGATAACTAATTTTGTATTTTGGTGTGCCCAAATTATTGTTCAAACCATCCACTAAATTCCTATCATCATTTTTATATTTTAGTTCTAAAATATCCAGTTGGTACTTTTGTATATTCCAACTCACTATGGATATTCTACATTCTTTCCTATATTTTGCATATTTTTCTTCTATTTCAAATTGTATCAATCATACTGGGTTGCCGGAAAAGTCATGACATATTTTTTCTATGTTTTTTCATTGCAAAAATGCGTCATGACTTTCCCGACAACCCAAAAGTTATTTTTTTAAATGCACTCTTGCTGCACTATCTGGATCACTTTACATTACTTATAGTTTCTTCTTTCCTTTCTCTTCTTTTAGTAATAAGTCATAATTTAAGCTCTTAGCACATAGGGTAATGATCTAGTGTATGCAGCAAATTGTGTATAAACAACCAAAGAAGCTCCTGGTGGTTGCTCTAGAGAGCTTTCTCCTTTTGCTCTGTTAGGAGGATAGGCCAAGAAACTGATTTCTTAAATCCATTCATGGATTGTGATAGATCACGGGTGTTTGAGATTTTAGTAAACATTGGACAAATTCTCCTTTCCTTGTGCTGCTCAGGCATGAGCTTGCTAGATTCTGAATTGTGAGTTTATGTGCTTTTCTTTTCTCAGCTCTGAAAGATGATGGGGGATTTGTCTCTCTTACGTAGGGGTTCCCAACCCAGTCGTCTAACCGCTTGCCACATGCAACATCAAAATCACATAAGTGTATTATGGGGAGACAGTACAGGTGCTTCAATGAGCCTCCTTTTACTATGTCTTGTGTGTAAAATCTAACGTGATTTAAGGGAACTATGCTTTTAAGAAATTTCAGAGTAGGTCACCAGCATCGCACAGAGCTCTGAAAGTAAGCAAAAGTGACTTGGAGAAAATGATTGTGAATTAGTGGCCCCTCAATGTCTGATTTATGAATCTATCTAAACCTGTGTAGTAATAAAGGACCCTGGGAATTTCTCTTTCCCTCAGAGGAAGGCCTCAAACTGGGCCAAAGCTAAGGCTCACTTCACGTCCAGCAACACCAAGCGTTCAGAGGAAAAAATGGCAAGACTCAATGCTTTTCAGAATGATTTCCCTGCCTGGAATTATAGATAATCTACTCCACATTGCTTCCTTAGCACTCTGATGTCCTTAACTATGGTTATTACAATATAATTGGGTTTTGTAGGTGTTTTTCCCCCAAAGGGGACATAGCCCGCTGATACTAATATATCCTACTCAGAATTGTAATAATCTTCTTCATTCTATTTTCTAAGTAAAGTCATGGAGTTGAGTGGCATGTACTTTTCCTGTCTTCTCAGATTTTGAAGTAATTCTATTTAAGCAAATCATGCCCACGAGATGCTAAAGGGCAGTGTTGTAAAATATTCAAATGCTTCTGGTGTCAGACACCTTTGGGTGTTCTCCATTATGCTAAGAGAATACTGTCTCATTGAGATCTGTTATAAAAGGAAATCACAGCACTGAGATAAATATGAGTTATTATTATTATTATTATTTTAAAGATTTTATTGGGGAATTGGGGTTGGGGAACAGCATTGGGGAATCAAGGGAAGGGGGACAGACAAGTTGCTGTCCTTTTGTTCTTCAGTCTAGTTGTGGAGGATGTTGCTTCACTGGCCCATGTTGATATTATCATTGTGCTCTTCCTGGATGAGGCTGATGGTCGCAGGCCTCTGGACAGCCACTCATGGCGGCTCTTGACAGCTCACACTGGCTGCCAGCCTTTTACGCTGGCTGCCAGCTACACACGGTAGCTTATGGCAGCCCATTGCAGCAGGGGCTGCAGCCTACACCATCGCCGGCGACTCACAGCAGCCCAGCTCCAGGTTGAGCTGTTGTTCACCATCTTAGCTGTAGAGGGCAATGTCACTGGCCCCCATGTGGGGTCCAAACCGGGGCCCTACTGCTCAGAGCTGGTGCCCCAAGCCAGTTCTTAACCAATGTGCCACTCGGCCAGCCCCATATAACCATGAGTTATTAACAAGTGATGTAGCTATTGCTCCTAGGACTGGAAACCAAAGGGAAGAGGTGGGGTTATTGGAGCTCCTGCTTTTGGAATAAGTCCCATCGACCTAGCACTCTAACCTTGGAGGAGAAGGTTATCCAACCTGGTTCTGGAACCTCAGGGATTTGGTGGAGGACTCAAAGATCTCACCCTCTCAAACCCAAGGGTAAGACGCTTGGCAGCTGTGCCAGTCTCTCTGAGGCTGATAGTACTGTTTGCTCTGGGAGTACTAAAAATATGTATACATGATTATTACATATAAATATATGTTAAATTATATAACTATAACTATATATATAAAACTATATATAACTATAACTATAACTATATATATATCACAATAATGTGCAGAATAAAAGTTACTGTCTTTGCAAAGGTGAGAGCTATTAATGAGGCAATACTGGCATGAACAGTAATTAAAAATTTACCAGGCTTTCAGTCTCTCCCTAGTTCCCCGTTATTGGAGAAAATAATAATGAAGTAAAGAAGAAGTTTGATTTGTATGTTCACATTCCCTGTGTGACAAAGCAGAGTACAAATGGGTAGGATGGTTGGAATTGAGACAGCATATTAAAAACACATGCATACACATTATTCATGAGCCGTTATTTTGCTCAGAAAGCACAGAGGCTAATTCCATGAAAAATTAAACACTAAAATTATTTAAAATAATGGAAAGTAGAAATATTTCAGGAATTAGCATATTTTTCCAATTGTTTAATGGCCAATGTTTGTGATCTCAAATAATAAAAAACCTTGCTGATTCTATCAATGATCTTCAACATAATCGGCAACATTTGAGGAGGCTACAACTTCATCCATGGGAAATTTCCTAAGGATTTGGTTTTCTTTTTGAAATCGTAAATTTTTGCTATACTGTCTAAGATTCAGTCAAAACATTTTACTCTTCTTCCTTAGGTAAAATCTTGATATTTTGCTCTTCTTGCTGAGTTGAAGTTGGAACATTTACCTGTTCTCCATGAGGTGAAATAGAAACACTCTGCTCTGTACTCTCCGCTGTTCTTTTTCTCATAGCAACCACAATTAACAAGCATAATAAAAGAAAAAAGAAAGTAAACCAAAGTAGTAGCAGATAACCCTGCCATTGCTCCAATTTAGTCTTTCTCCTAGGGGGCGGGCCACTATCAATACTACCGCCGTTGCCATTTTCCAGGCAGTTGGGAGGGTCCCACTCATAGTTGCAGTGGCAGTGATGTCTGTTGTTACAGACTCCATTCATATTGCAGGTCTGAGGTGTACAATCACTTACCAGAAGTGACATAGGGACACACTTCCTTTTGATGCAGATACGTTCCGTACCACACTCTGTACCATCTTTCACTTCTCCAATGTCAGGTGTGGTCATCCCCAGATGGTAGTCTGTACCCCAGCAGGTGACATTATTGAATTGAGTCCAATGTACAGTAGAATGATCTCGCAGAAGGGGAATTTCTATCACGTTCTCACACTGAACCCTCCCACACAGGATGTCTGAGATGTTACATTGCACATATGTAGACTCACGAATACCACAGTGACCAAAACGGTCTCCTTGGGTGTTCACTCTTCTGTAGCAACTCTGATTTGCACTCTTGGCCTCTTTACCAAAAATTTTCTTACACTGTTCTTCACGGTTATTGCATCTCTTTTCATAGCAGTAGCCACCGCCCAGGCATGGGATCCCATCCTGCACATACACATCGTCTGGACAGTCATAGGATGTCCCATTGCACCACTCTGGAAGATCACATTTGTTTTCCTCTTTTCTACACACATTGCCCGATGGCATGATCTGGCAGTCTTTGCAACAAAGCCCAAAAGCACAAGCAGCCCCAGGTGTCAGAGTGCAGTTTGACTGACAACACGGATCTTTTATACATAAATGTAAAGCGCCACAGTCACACTCTTCTCCTTCTTCAACCACACCGTTCCCACACTCAGTAAATGAGAAGATGTTCCCTGTATGTGATGAAAAGTGTAAACATTTTCGTTTTGCCATGTTGTCTGTGAACTGAGCATAACTGCAGTTGCTGAATCTAGTTGCGTCTCCTTTTGATGGAAACATAATGCAGGTCCGATGCCCGCAGTCACAAGTGTCTGCATCATGGGTCATACCCAAATTGTGACCGATCTCATGTGTCACAATGTATGCAAATTCATACAAATCATCAATTATGAAACTATCAACTCCACAATTACTATTAGCGTAACATACGGTTCCAACATAAGCTAAGCCAAGATTAATGCCGTAGCTCTGCATTACAAAAAGATGTGCAATATCATGGGGTAAGCGGCGACTGAAGTCAGTTCTCTTCCAGATGCAAAATTCTGTCAGCAAATTAGATATGTCATCTATTGCAATGGGGTTTCTTTCAGTCCATATCTCAATTCCTATTAAAACTATATCAACATCCAGTGGATTTAAAAAATTATCTACTTCATTGATAACAATGCATATTTCCTTAAGTACAGTTGAGGTGTTACTTTGGCGATACAGATAACGATTTTGATCCACTACCACCGCCAGTTCAAGAAACCTTTTGTGGGTCCACCAGCCTTCATACCCACTTTGCAGCAGAGTATAATTAATGCTCTCTTGTAACTTCAATTGGCGCACTATTTCTTCATCTGTTAATCCACATCTCATGGAGGGGAACTGTGTCTCCTCACTGCTCATCTTATATATGAGATGTTCAAATGTGGTAGAAGGTCTTTTGGGCTCGATTTCATAGACGATGTCATTTGTCTGTACTATTCCTTGAAAGCCCCCAAAACAGGTACTGAGGGCAACCAGGGATTTTGGGTCCCCCTCCACATACCCATGATAGTAGCAGTCATTCTGGACAAAAGGCTGGTCCTCAACAAGAGCACCTTGGTCTGTGTAGGTGAACACTGGCAGGTGTCTGGGCAGCAAATATTTGTTGACCTTCATGTGGACTATGAATCTCTGCCCCCCAAAATGCAATCTGTAAGACAGCCAACCTTGAGCCTTTAAGCCAATGCCAGTGCCTTTTACCTTTTGGGGAATCACCACTTCTGCGGGACCATGGCGTTGGGAGTGTCCAACTTGGGAACATTCAGATAAGAACAGAAACACCCCCAGCCAGAGCGGCAGGAGAGTGTTCCTCGCACGCACCAGGGCCTCACCCACAGCTCTTAGGGAGCCACTATATGTAGCCATTGGTGAGAGCAAAATGGAACGTGCAGGAACCATCACTGTTCTGTCTCGTCCCTCTGAGCTATCTGTCTCCAGGACTGGCTTTTAATCGGTTCTCTGGCAGAGTCACACCATCAGAGAAGCACACTACAAGAGAAAATACAAAGAACAGTAGAAACAGGTGGGGATTATATGCAGGCCAAGGTAGAGGAGGAAGAGAAAGATATGGCTTAAAATGGGTTAATGTCTGGCTCAAGACACGACTCAGCATACTGCCTGTGTTTACTCTTTCTTTTTTTTCATGTGTGTGAAGAAAAGTATATATATATTTGCCTTATGTTCTTTTCAACACAGGGTCCTACAGACCCTGTTCTGAAATTTCTTGACGCTCATTTCATATCAGTATAGGATATGCATGTGTTTACTCTTAAGGAATTGTGAGGCAGTGTGAGACTGTGGATGTACTAAAGAATGGTGATCGGCCGGCCATAGGCTGACAGTTTTTGAAACTAGATGAAGGACACATAGTGATTAATGATATTGTTCTTCGAATACATGAATATGTATGAACATTTTCACAATACATATACCGAGGTGCCAAAAAGAATGTATACACATGACTTGTATTTACCTTTTGTTTTTGGTATATATTGAGTATTACAATTTCAATACAGCTTTTTTCCTTTCTTAAAGTGTGTATACATTATTTTGGCACCCTCTGTATAAAACAAAGAGTCTTAATGGAAAGGTAAGCATATATCATGTTTTGAGAGGGAGTCTCTATACACATTGACTTGGTATAAATATTTACATATAGTTTTTTCTTTCAATTTCAAATGATAAGTTATTTAGCCACATTACTCAAGAGAGATATATTAACATACTCACATAACATTATTTTTTCTTATTGTCCTTAATATATATATATAAATATATCCACGCAACAAATTATTACTTGTCTTATCTCCTTTCTGTGTTCCTCTTTTCATCTAATTCTGCCAAACTGCAAGGAAAATAGTATCATTTGGGTTTCACATTGTTGATAGGTATGTTTTAAGTAGGGATTTAAGTAGAATTAAGTAGGGATAAAGGACTTTCCATGAAAAAGTGTGACTACAGAGGAGATTGCTGTTGCTTTTCATGAAAGGAAGATTCCATACGTAATGAAAATGATTCCAGAGAAAAAGTGTCCAAATACATGGAATCAAAATTTAAAAAAAAAGAAGAGAAAAGCAAAAATGAGTAAACTATCCAGAGAATAGGTTCTTAATTGGGCACTTTCCATTTGTATATCATCTACTATGGGAAGTGGATTTGATCAGTGTGTTTTAGATCTGTCATAGCAGACTTTTGTGCTTTTTCAATTTTTACAGGGATTTTTTGATGTCATTACTTAAAGAACTCTTAGTACTTTAATGACCTGATGATGACTGTGGATAGTCACACTAGATAAATAAAAATTGGCATGTATATGTAAAATATTGAATGCAATTTTACAAATTTCTAATGTGTACCTTTCCCCCAACCACTCTGTCTAAATTGGTGCTCAAAACAACGAACTTATTTAGGTTTGTATTATTCATGTTTCCCAAGTGGGTAGTCCAGTGTCTGTACATTATCTAGTTTTATTAATATTTTTTAATTAATATTTTATTTAAGGAAGAAAGTAACAAATCAGTATTGTCAGGTAGGCATTGTGTTTGTGCTATATTTCTCATTTTCACAAATATGTGAAATGTTTGTATTATTGGGGCAAATATTTTTGTATTTGTATTTTTCATACAAGACACACACACACACATATATATATATAAATTGTGTAAATATATATACATTATATATATACATTATATATATATATATTAGTTTAAGTTAATACATCTATATAAAGATTGAACTTGGGAGCTTGTTACCTTGCAATCCTAAAACTGTGAGGATTTAGATGTTTTTGCCCTGTAAGACAATATTACCTTCCCCAAAGCTTTCCCTTATCCTTCTGGGATTATTGACTTCCTTTGCATTTCTGAAGGTACTTATTTTGCCTTCAGTACACACCCATCTCCAGCTGTTAGCTTTCTAGTTTGATTTTATTCCATTTTATATGGTGTTGAAAAACGTTCTTCTTCTTAAGAGTATAATCAAATATAAACATATTTAAGTAACATCCATCTAATCCATTGTACTTCCCCCTCCAATACCACCATTGTCTACTGTTGATTGAACATTATGATACATACTAATAAATGTATAGACAATTAATAAATTCTTTTCTATATTCCCACAGTTTCATCAAATTGATAAAGCTCTGTACTTTTAGTACCACCTCCCTTCTCACACATACTTATAGCCTAATTCAGTTTGCCAAAAAATGAGTAACAACCCATTAAAACAAAATTTTGTAGCTTTCACTCAAGTGAAGTATACTAGAATAGGAAATAATAAATGCTATAGATCTCCCTCAAGATGTGAATACTTGTTAAAGACATGTTTTTGGGTTTTTTTGCTTATTTGTGTGTGTGTATTCATGCATACACAAATACTAGCACCTCTCTCCTTTATGTGAAATTCTTGAATGACTTACCAGCAATAGAATTAATGGTTTCCATGGTCCTTTCTAGCTATAGCCATATTCATAGATCATTTGTACTACCCATCTCTATGTACAAAGATTTTCATTTGGGACCTCACATGAGAATGAATAAAAATCCCCTTCCTTTTTGTCTCTGAATTGGTTAAATTCTAGATCTAGCTACTTAGCAACAAGACTCTCTCAGTTCTACAGACCATGGCAACTGGCTAAAGTCCCTCCTCACTGTGACTCCACGATCTCCATCAAACTTTAATTCTAACTACTCTTCAATATGAAAAAATTCAACTGTATTCCTTATCCCCACCCTATGTGTTCCCTATATACAATAGAAACACTTTAGTTTCATTAATTTTGATTATATTCTTGCTCTAGCCCCAGATTATTTCCCCAACATTGAATCATATTGTGGAACACTTAAAGTACTTCAAGTTCCAGAAAAAGGTTTAACCCTATTTAAAATATTCTACAAGGAATCCAAATGTCAGTAATCATCAATAACTTCCTTTGAAAGGTCAATGAAATTACACAGAGACATTTCATATCTGCATGTAACTATATGTCATCAGTTAGAAAAACCATTGTCAGAAAGAAAAGGAAAACAAAACTTAGAAGAAGAGAGAGGTGAGCAAAAAATAGAGCAGGAATAAATTTGATAGGTAGATTGACTAGCTGTCAGTTAAAAATTGCCAATGTGGGTAGACCTATATTTAGCAAGTTGGCAGGGGTAAGCCAAGAAAGCATGTTTAGTTATTATCCTTGAGCGTTTACCTGTGGAATAGAGGGGTTGCTCATGTCTGCCAGTTTGATACCTGCCAGTGTGTTGCTATTTCCCCTCCAGCTTAGTAAGTCTATCCCGGATCTGTGCCTCTTCCCTCATTGGAATTTTTCACTTTCTCTCCAGCTTTCATCACAAATAGTTTCTAAAAGACTGAATTTGAACTATGACTATGTTCTTTTTTCTATTAGTTTTCAAGGGCTGGTGTAGCAAAATACCACAAAGTAATTATTTAACAAAAATGTATTGCCTGACAACTCTAGAGGATAGTCTTCCAATGTCAGGGTTTGCAAGGCCTGGCTCTTTCTGAAGGCACTAGAGAAGCATCTGTTACAGTCTTCGCTTCTGTTAGTTCTTTGCCTTGTGGAAGCATGATTCAGTTTTTGCGTGATGCTCTTCTGTTCAAATTTTTCTCTTTAAATAGGACACCAGTCATATTGAATGTGGGGCCCACCCTATTCCAGAATTACCTTATCCTACTAATTACCTCTGTAATGACTCTATTCCCAAATAAGTACATTTTCTTAAGTACTGGAAGTTATACTTCAAAATATGAATTTTAGGGGACACAATTCAAACCATCACAATCTCCTTGGCTTAGTTTAATGGCCGGTAGTGACATTGTTATTAGGGCAGGAGAGATGAATGTAAGAAAATATTGCTATTTATTATGAAAAATTTCAAATCCTCGAAATTTTTTTATATGTTGTAGTCCTAAACAGAAAAAGGATTTGTTTGGTCAATTTTAGTTAACTAAGTGGCTTTCTTTTCATCATAATAATTGATTACTTATTACATCTTTTCTCATGTTTTACCTTAGCTTAAAAGATGGTGCACATATTCTATTAGATTTATGCATAATGATTTCATTTTTGGGGTGGTAGTGCAAATGGTATTGTATTTTAAATTTCAATTGGGTACTCTCACTACCCAATTTTTAGAGTTACTAATAAACTACCCTAGTCAAAGACAGAGGAATAGACACATCGATCAATGAAACAGAATAGAGACATCAGAAACAGAAATACGCATATATCCACTAAAATATATTCAAATGATTTTGACTAAGTCACCATGACATTGAAAGGTAGCAGTATATGTCACTCCAAAGTATGCCATTTGGGCATATTGATTATTTTGGATGAAACGCACTTAAGGCACAGCTGGTGCAGGAAAAATAATCTGATCCTTCTTTGTTGTTCTGAAAGTAGGAGATAAATCTCCCATGTGAAAAATACCCTCCTTGGGCCGGCCGAGTGGTGCGATGGTTAAGAACTGGCTTGGGATGCCAGAGGGCCCCAGTTCGGATCTCACATATGAGGGCCAGTGACACTGTCCTCTACAGCTAAGATGCTGAACAACAGCTCAACCTGGAGCTGGGCTGCCGAGAGTCGCAGGTGACAGCGTAGGCTGCAGCCCCTATGGCAGTGAGTTGCCATGGGCTACCGTATGTAGCCAGCAGCCAGCGGGAGCGGCCAGCAGCCACAATGAGCAGCCGTCCAGAAGCCAGCGACTGACCTGACTCGCCCGGGAAGAGAGCAATGATGGTGCCAACTTGGGCCAGTGAAGCAATGTCCTCCACAACTAGACTGAAGAACAAAAAAAGACAGCAACTTGTCTTTTCCCCTTTCCCCAATTCCCCAGCACTGTTCCCATCCCCCCAATTCCCCAATAAAAAAAATACCCTCCTTGCCCCAACAAGGGGGAAAACACTCTTATTAACCAGAGACAGGGAATTTGGGGATGACCTGTTAAACTAACCCTAATCTTCTAGTTACTTCT